TTATAAATTTATATCTAAATATTTAATTTTTGTTCAAAATTTTATACGTTAACACCATTGTTGTTGTGTACTGAGAGTTTATATAGTGTGTAAATAGAATTTCGCTTCAAGCTATCCTAAAAAAATTATAAATATGCCTCCTAAGATTTGTTTAAAATATAATTTTTTTCCTTTAGTTTTGAAAATTATATCTCGCCTCTCGAAATTTTTAATTTCATAACAAATAGTTTCTTTTATCAATAAATTAACAAATCAATTAACAATTAATGATTTAAATAATTTTATCACTGTATAGAAAAGCAACTATAAAAAAAAATTTCAATCAATTCTGTTAAATATTTTTTTTTATAATAAGGTATTTTTAATTTTTAAACCGACTAAGAACAATATATATTAAAAATAAAACTCAAGTGTTATATTTAAAATTTATCCAAAATAAAAATATAAATTCTAAATTCTAAATCAAAAGTGAGATACGTGGGGCAACATGGGTTAACATAGCAATAAAATATAAAATAAGTTTAAATAATTAATAAGATAAAAAGGGATTTAGGGTGGCTACTATACGGGGGTGCATAGCAACCACAGTTGTGCAGCTAAATGGACCTATTTCGGGGTCTATTCCGATAATTCGAACTGTTCATATTTTAAAATACATCAAGTAGAACATACGTGTAAAAAATCAAGTTAATTGGATATCGTTTATCCATTCATCCACTCACATTTGTATCGACAAAAATAAATAACAATTATGATTTAAAGTATTAAAATGAATATAAATGTGAGTGGATGAAAGGGTAAACGATATCCGATTAACTTGATTTTTTGCAGATATGTTCTATTTGATGTATTCTAAAATGTGAACCGTTCGGATTATCAAAATAGGCCAATTTGACTGCATAACAGTGGCTTTTGTGCACCCCCGCATATCAGCCACCCCAACTCTGAAACAAAGTCATATTCAAATCATAATCATTTTTTTTTCCTCTCACAATCATTAAAATCAACTACAAAAAAAAACAAAAACAAAAAAAACAAAAAAACACACACACACGACTATCATCCTAAATATAACTTTTTTAGTCAAACTAAAATAGTTAAAAAATAAACTAAAATAGTTAAATTCTCAAATCATGTTGTTTGGGCTTGTCGATTCTTTTTGAATCCCATATTGATAATCTGAAAATAGATTACTGATATTATAAATGATTATCAAGGTAAACCAAAAAAAAAAAAAAAAACAAAAGATATTTTGAATTTAGATAGTATTAAGAACAATTGTGCTACGTAGCTCGAAAGAGAGATTCCTTGAATCCCCCGAATTCAAAACGGCGTCGTTTTGTCGTTTTGTCATTTTGAATTTTTTTTTTTTTTTTTTTTCAATAACTGGTAGAAGGAAAATCAGAAAATAAGAAGAAAGAGTAGCAGACAAAGAGATCATCAACTACCCATCATCATCATCATCAACCACCCAACACATCATCACATCATCACAAATCGAGGCCGAGCTACGACGATCGGAGGCGGAGGCAGAGGCGGCGGTGATCAACCCTCTCTCTCTCTCTCTCTCTCTCTCTTCGAGATCAACCCTAGCTCTCTCTCTATGTTTCCCTTCCCCTTTCTCTTATTCACTCTTCTATCTGTTTCAGACGTAAGGAATGAATGAAGGAAAAAAAAAAACCTGAAACGACGTTTTGGGCAGTCGAGGGATTCAGGGGAGAGGGATTCGAGCTACGAAGGATTATTCTATTAAGAAATGGTAGAAAAATAATTTTAGTAACAATTAGGATGGGCATTTGTCGAGTCGGACCGAATTTGGGCCGGTAGACACTACATAATAAGGGATTTTATATCTGCCTAAATATGGCATCACCCTAATATCGGGCCTCTACATTTATCCAAGTCTGGTCAAAAAAATAATTATAAATCTCAAGCTCACCTATTAGACTATATGTTTAAAAAAAAATTAAAATATTTCGTAATTAAATTCAATCACAAATTAAATTTCTTAAATAAATATACTGACATCGTTATAAATTGAAGAATTTTTTAAATAAATTTAGGCACACATTACCACAAATGCAAGTTTCATTAAAATAACAAAGATAAAGTATATGTCCCAAAAAATATATATTTTTTAATACATTATAATTAATTAATTAATTTAATAGTGGGCCGAGTCAAGTTAAGTTGAAAGTATAAATATCAAATCTAACCCATTAATATATCGGGATGAAAATATTAGTTTAATTTTACCTTATGAGCTAAACAACCTTTTTCACATCCTAAAAAATTAGGGTTCGGTTAGGCAAGTTGGACGGGCTAGTCATGCATGCGAGCCTGACGAAAGCTTCCTCTCAAGAGCACTAGCCCTTGATAACGAGTCTGGATCCTCTCCAGCTCTCCTCTCAAGCTCTTCCTCCGGTCAACGGCCAGAATTTGGCCACGTCACTCCTAACCAAATCCACGGCTCAGATCAAATTAGCTAACCCAAAAAAAAAAAAAAAAATTATTCAACACAACAAAGCAAAACAGGTCTTCCTCCCATATCTTGAGCTCTGGCGACTCCATCTCCTGACATCGACAGCGGCGAATCCAAGTCGGCCGCCACCATACAACCACATCTCCACTACAACACAGCCACAGTCCATGTTTTTCTTGCGAACGGACATTGAATTATGACTCACAAATTAGACCCACAAGGCTAGTCTTAGATTAAACCCACAAGGCTACTCTGTAACTCCTCTCCTACACAATAACTTTTGAGAGAGGGCATTTGCGGTTTGTCTGAAAGAAGGTGTTTTTGGGATTGCTCAATTTCTATGTATTGAGAGAGAGAGAGAGAATGAACAAAACAAAGAAATTATATGAACATATATATATATATATATATGAGATGAGAAGGAATGGAGGAGGTGGATAATTGGAGGGCAAGAATTTCAAGGATTGAGCTGTTTGTTCTTTAATGAATATACGTTGCAAAATATATGTATTGTTGAGATAGATAAATAGAGGGAGAGACCCGAGAAGGAGCTGTCGATGTTCGCTGCGATGGTGCTTTGTTTGTCAATGTTCGTTCGTTCATCGAGCCGTCGCCGTCGATGTTCCTTCGCCTTTGAACACAATTTTCAGGAAGCTCTGCTTTGCTTTGCTGTGTTGAATGAAATTCAATTTTTTTTTTAATTTTTTTTTTGTGTTAGTTAATCTGATCTGAGCCATAGACCCTGGTTAGGGGTGACGTGGCCAAATCTTGGCCGTTGACCAAAGAAAGGGTTAGAAAGGAGGGCTGGAGAGGATCTGAACTCCTTGATAACTACTCCTGAATAAGAGATATTTAAGTTAATGCTAGTGTGATCGTGGGAGAGACCCCAAACTCACCAAGGGCTTGGAAGGTTTAAGAGATTAAAACGAACAACCGAATGGTTAGGATACACACTTCGAGAGCTAGCACACCTCCTACCGAAATTGATTTGTTAGATTTGAACCTAACAACTTAGAATTAGCAAAGCCTTTTTTTTCTCCCTTCTTTTTTAGGATAAAATTCACAAAAAAAAAAAAAATGCTAAAACAATGAATAAGACAAAATATCACATCAAACTAGGGGTGAGTAGTAATGTATGATGATGAACGAACGGTTGCGGATTGATTTTTTTCCAATCCACCTAATTTTGGACGAATGGAGGATTTAAGGTTCATTTGGCCGTAATCGAACCGTCAAATGGCGAGCACCCTAGTAATTTGTAAGACTTTACGTTTTCAATTTGTTTAGATATTCTGTTTGTATTTTCAATTAAAAAAAAGTTTAGATATTCTATTATTTTTTCAATTTGAAAATCCTTTTATCAAATGGCAAGGGTTGATATTTGGTATTTTTGTGTGGAAAATATAGGATTTAATTTTATCATTTTTAAAAAAAAACCAAATTAAATAGTTTTTGAATAGAAAAAAGTAATGAAATAGTTTTGATAATACATGATTTTTTTATATATATTTATTATTGGTGTTTTGACAATTTACTTGATAATCTTTTGGCTATGTTGAGTTGAATTATTATTTAAAAAAAAATTGTTGAAAATTTGTTGTATTATGTTCAAAATTTGTAAAAGTTTAAACTGCCAAATCGATTGACACCCATTTGCCAATTTGCATCCGTCAATTCGATGGACAGATGTGAACTGATTTTTTTAATCCGCCCATCTGGCAGATGGATAGCAAATTAAAGGTTCTCTGGGCGCAACTGAACCACGAAAACCTCTATATCAAACACATAATCATTTTAATTTTTTCTCACAAACACAACATTCAACTATAAAAAAATCAAACTATCTTTCAAACACAAATATTTTAATATACTAAAATAGTCAAAAATTAAAATAATCTACTAAAATAATTCACAATATATAATTAATATTTTATTTTATTTATATTTATTTAAATTGCACATGCTGTGTGCAAATTGTTAATATACCTATGGCTTTGTTTGGGAAGAAGGGTTGAGTTGAGTTTGAAACTATTTTAGACACAAAAAATTAAAATAAATTTTTTAATTTAATAAAACAAAATATCCCATATAACTTTTTTTTTTTCAAATAAGAATGTTTAACTCCAAACTAAAATACCCATAAACAAGGAAAATGAATTGTGGCCCTAAAAACAGTGGCCCTAATGGCCCTAATTTCCTTTTCTGGATAAGTTTGTTTTTTTTTTCTTTTTTTTTTTGCCTTGTTTTTTTTTTGCCTTATATGGAAATTTAGGGCCATTAGGGCCACTAAATTTCGAGCTACCAACCAAAACCGTTCCCAAGTTATCAAATTTTAAAAACAAAATTCTAAAATTATATCCAAGACAGGCACACTTTTATCACACTTTTAATGCATTAGTGCTATTAGTGGTGATATTTTTAGTGGGATGAATCATTATTGTTTTTTTTTTGTTGCCTTATATGGAAATTTAGGGGCATTCGGGCCCCTAAATTTCGAGCTACCAACCAAAACCGCATAAACAAATCAAAAAGCGAACCCATTTTCCAAACCATTGTCTAAAAAATCTAAAAACTCTCCTATAGTATTTATCACCGCCAAAATTGTTAAAAATTTAATTGTAGTGGAAGTCGAAGATCTCATCGCATGGAAGACCGCAAGGAGGTAATATAAATCCTTTTCTCTCTCGCTCTCTCTGCTGATCTCCCCCTTGTAAATAATTTATTTATAGTTTCAGTTCATACATATATATATATATACATCTGCATGTTTTTGTTTTATGTTCTTCCTCTAATTTGACTCTGTAATCGAATTTTTGAACTTCCAATTTCCATTTTTAGAGTTTCCTACAATTTTTTGCTAGTCTGGTAGTTCTGTGCTTTTAATCCTCCAATTTGTATACTTTTTTTATTTATTTATTACTGTTTTTGATTTCCTTCAAAATAAAATTAAAATGGGTCTACAAGGTGGTTGGGAAGTTTTTATTTTTCTCTTTTGAGAAATTAATGTTGATTTGGTGAATAACACCCTCCTTGGACGACCCAAGAATTTAGCCTGGTGGATGAGGCATGCGACTTGTGGGTTTGCTTCCTCTTAAATCGTCAGGTTTAACACTTTACGCTATCAAAAACTATTGGGCACGGACTGCAAGGAATAAATATGTTTTTATTTAAGCTCTCTTAGGCCCCATTTGGCGACTTATCTTTTTAGTTAAAAAGTCAAAAAGTTACATTTTTAGTCAAAAAACCAACAATTCATATCAAAAAGTCAAATTCTCTTTTCTCTTTACTTTTTGCACATCTTTTCGTAATTAGCTAAAAAGTCATCCCAAACATATAAAAATTTTTTATTTACTTTTTTTAGCTAAATAGCCAAAAAATTACTAAATTAGCCTGTTCCCAAACGAAACCTAATTTGATAATCTGATAGATGTAAATTGGCCTAAGCTACCCTACATATAATATAAAAAAACACTCCTTTGACCTTTTCTCTTAAATAGTGAATATGTCGAAGTTGTGACCTTACTTCTTTGTTTTAGTTATATATTTTAATTTTGTTGGTGGAGTGGGGGATTTGAAATTATAAGTGAATGTCATGATCAGCTTCTTTTTACCTTATCATTTCTCTTTCCTTTTAAAATCTACACATGAAAAAAAAAAAAAAAATGTTGGAGTTTGACAATGCTACTAACATGATTTGAAAATTCAAACAAGAAAAAGAGATAGCTGGAAGTGAGATAATTTTGATCTAATTATTCCCCATATATGACATTTTTCATGCTCTATATTGCCCCCCCCCCCCCCAAAAAAAAAAAAAAAAAAAACAAAACAAAACAAAAAAAAAGGGGCAAATTCTGTTGGCCAAGAACACAGGAATTTTGAGACATGATTATCTATGTGATTGAGAGTGCATTGGATACATTTTGGATACATAGAAACATGAATTTTAGGTATAGAGAATCCCATCCCGTGTCCTGTTACTGAGGAGGATGCATTATTATTTGTCAATTTTATCTTGTTGAAATGGTTCTTGGAAACAATGGTGTCCCTTAATGGAAATTGTATATTGGGCACTGGAAGAATCCTTTATCCTTTTGGTGTACTAAAAAAGTGACTTTATTTTATTGGATTTTGTATAGAACAACACACCATGGCTATCGGTTCCCCAGTTTGGTGACTGGGATCAAAAGGGTGTATTGCCAGACTACTCTCTGGATTTCTCAAAAATCAGAGAAATGAGGAAACAAAACAAGAGGGATGTGTCAAGAGCCAGTCTTGGAAATGAAGAAGAGCTTATCTCCTCAGCCACCACCACCACTACTACAGACACCAGCCACAGGGATCATCACCATCACCATCAAAACCACTCTCCAACTGTAAGATTCCTTGACTTTCTTTCTTTCTTTTTTTGTTGTTGTTGTTGGTGGTGGTAAAGGGCTGTTCTCGATAGAATTGAATACAATAATGAACAAAGCTATACAGGTAGCCGTTGTTAGTTTATTAGGGTTTTAATACACTACATAATACATACATATGGACAGTAGTTGAAGTTGGGCATAAGAAAGAGTATTGATGAGGGTGGGGATGACAGGACTCACTAAAATAATATGATAAAGACAACTTATGTGAGTAAAATTTATCAGTTTCCATAGCATTATCATGGTAGCAAGTAGAATCTATGTGTAAGTTTCTAAATAAACTTGTATATTCAATGCTATTTAAAATATAAGAATACATTTGTTTATATATCAATCTAACCCTAGAACTGAAAAAAGAAAACAAAATTCCTAATATATACAGAGTATATAAACTACCATATATACATGAAACGTAATATTCTTGCACCCTTGCTCAGACTCAAGGGGTTTTACCAGAAAATACTAAGGTTGTGTTTGTAAAGATTTTCAAATCATAATTCTACTCACATATTCTAATATCATGTTTGGATAGAGTTTTCAAACTATATTTCCACAACAAACAGAAAACTCTGTGTCAAGCGTGATTTTCAATTTTTTTTTTTTTTTAAATTTGGCCTAACCGGACGTCCTACCGGTTGACCGGAATAGTGCAATTTTTTTTTGTTGTTGTTGCAATTGACACATGTTAATTTTTATATATTCAAAAAAAATATTTTTCGAATTTTAAAATTTTTTTATGAGATTTAGTAGAATTTTGAGTTGTGTGTTTGATTTTGAGTTAAAAGTTTTTGTATCAAACATCATATGTCACATAAAAAATTTCTCACTCAATTCAAAACTCTTTTCAAAACTCATTCACCAAACAAATTTTTCACACTCAAATCATAATTTCAAAACTCACAAATTCAAAATACAACTCCTATTCTCAAATCATATTTAGAAACTCTACCAAACGTAACCTAAGAGTTTGCTAAGAAGAAACTGAAACCGAGCAGTGGTGTGAGTATTGGTAAAGAAGTTAGCAAATTGCAAAGCCGAAGAGACGAAAGGAAACAAGACAGAGTCAGACGGCAAATGGTGACGGACAAAGTGACAATCAATCTCAATGTGCTTTGTCCGCTCATGGAAGACAGTGTTATGGACAATCTGAAGAGCATTATGGTTGTCACAGTAGAGGGAGATCGGAGAAGATTGAGGGACACCAAAATCAGATAAGAGAGAACGAAGCTAAACAATCTTAGCAGTAGCATGAGCCATAGCATGGTACTCAGCTTCGGCAGTAGAGCGAGTAATAACAGTTTATTTCTTGCTTTTCCAAGAGAGTAAGGAATTACCAAGAAACATATAGAAACCAGACCTAGATTTGCGATCAGTAACATCATTAACTCAATCAGAATCAGTATAGGCCACCAAATCTAGAGAAGAAACCGAGGACAATAGTAAACCTTGAAATATAGTATCTTAGAGATAGCGAAAAATTCGAACCAATGCAGCCCAATGTGTGGAGTAAGGAGCATAAACAAACTGGCTAACCACATGAACAACATAGGCAAGATTAGGACGAGTAATCGTCGGATAGACTGAGTAACCCACAAGCTCGCGATATAAAGTGGGATCATCCAGAGAGACACTATCAATAGAGTTGAGCTACACATTAAACTTAGTAGGTGTATCAGAAACCTTAGTATCAGTAAGACCAGCACGGTGAATGACCTCATTAGCATACTTAGCCTGAGACAGAAAATAGCCCTTTGGAGAAGAAGCAACCTTAATACCAAGAAAATACCGCAATGGACTCAGATTCTTCATTTCGAAAGTGCGGAAGAGATGCTGCTTGACTTCAGAGATAGCAAAAGAGTCAGAGCCAGTGATGATTATATCATCTATATATAGTAAGAGAGCAACAAAGCCAGCCGAGGTATGTCTCAGAAACAAAGCAGAGTCGGAAGCAAAATGATGAAACCCAAGCTCAGTAACAGCAATCTGAAAGGAATCATATGAAACACAAAGAGAATGCTTCAAACCATATAGAGCACGCCGAAGACGACAAACCTGTCCAAAAGAGTGGGAAAAGCCAAGAGGTGGACGCATATAGACCTCCTCAGTGAGATGAGCATTAAGAAAAGTATTCTTAACGTCCATTTGATAGAGAGGCCAATGTCAAATAGCAGCAACAAAAATCAAGGTACAGATAGTATCCATATTGGCAACAGGGGCGAAGGTCTCTTCATAATTAATATCATACTCCTACGAGAAACCCTTAGCAACCAGATGAGCTTTGTATAACTTGAGAGAACCATCAGAATGAGTTTTGACTTTATAGACCCATTTGTAACCAACTAGATTCTTGCTAGTAGGCAACTGGACTAACGCCCTAGTGTTAGTCTTCTGCAAGGCAAACAATTCATCCTCCATAGCTCGAACCCAATTGGAATCCTAATAGGCCTCCTTGTAAGACTGAGGTTCTGAAAAAGAATGAATAGCAAATGAAAAAGTACGATAGGAAGCAGAAAAACATGTATTAGACTAACCCAACTTGTTTGGAGGATGACGCTCTCGAGTAGGATATCAGTGTGCAGTAGAATCAGAGTCGTCAGAAGTAGGAGGATCAACAGTAGGGGTAGAGACAACCGGTGGAGAGAGAGCTTGGCGATGAGAATAAACTAACAACGGAGGAGGAGAAAGAGTGGGCTGGGGAAAATGAGGAGAAAAATGGAGCAAATTCATGGGGTTCAATGGAGAAAGACTCAGCCAGAGGGGTGATAGGTGGAGAACAGGGAACAAGTTCAGGGGGAATAATAGAGATGTGCTCATCAGGAGGGACCTCAGAAGGAAATGGATCAATATGAACCAAATCCTCTTTGGAAACCGAAGTAATGATAAGAGGAAGCTAAAAGTAAGGTAGACGTTCGAGAAAAGAAACATGACGGGAGACATAAAGACGACGGGAAACAGGATCGTAACACCGATAGCTTTTCTGAGTAGGATTATAACCCCAAAAGACACAGAGGATTGACCGGGTACTAAGTTTGGTCCGATCTTTGAGGGAAAGAAGGACAAAATAAGCAGACCCAAACACACGAAGGAGGGAGTAATTAAGAATTTGGGAGAACAAAGCCTCATAAGGAGACCAACCAGAAAGAAGGGGAATAGGCATACAGTTGAGAAGAAAGCAGTAGTAAGAACTGTTTTCCCCCAAAACGAAGCCGGAACTAAGGCAGAGAGAAGAAGAGACCTAGTTGTCTCAAGGAGATGACGGTGCTTACGCTCGGCTCGACTATTTTAGACAGCTGTATCTGTACAGGAAGTTTGATGAATGGTACCCAAATTGGCCAAATATTCACATAACTCATTTTTTAAATATTTCTCCACCCAAGTCAAATCGTAACACTTTAATTGTAGACCCAAACTAAGTAGTAATCATAAACTGAAATGTACGGTATATCTAATAGAAATCAGACTTATGAGTCATAAGATAAACCCAATTATAACGGGTGCATTCGTCAACAAATGATACATAGTATGCAGAATTCCCTTTAGTGAGAACAGGAGAAGGGTCCCAAATATCAGTATGAACTAAAGAAAACGGTATATCAGATATAGAAGTACTTTTACGAAAAGGTAAGACTGTTATTTTGGCAAGTTTACACCCTCGACATTCAGTAAGTTCATTAGGAGAAACTTTACCCAATACACCTGATTGAGCTAAAGACCGTAAGCGGTCAGCAGACAAATGCTGTAATCTAGAATGCCACAAGTAAAAAGGATTGGACAGAGAATCTAATTGAAAAAAGGAAAAGACAGTCGGAGAGGTTGTTATAGGCAGATGCAAGCTCTTCACCACATAGAGGTTTCCAACTCTACAGTCAGTCTCAATCTGCTGCTTGAACATTCAATCCTGCACAAAACAGATAGAAGAAGAAAAGATAATATCAAAACTGGAGGCATCAAGTTGACTGATAGATAATAAATTGACAGATAACCGAGGAACATAAAGGATAGATGGAATAGAGAAAGCAAACATAGTAGATGGTAAGACAGACTTAACAGATATAACAGATATAACAGACATACCAGACCTATTAGCAGCATTAACAGTAATAGGAAAGGGAGGGGGAGTGCAATTTTGAAGTAAGAAAAGATGGGAAGTCATATGATGAGAGGCACCAGAGCTTTTTGTCTGTGTGGTATGTCAGTAATAGCTGGGAGGTAGACAATATATGCTAAAGCTAACTAATCTGAGCACTCAAGGAAGCCAAGTCAGGATCAGGAGCAGGAGAAGATGTAGTAGAACCGGCGAGAGGCCAAATGGTACTTAGAGGAGGGGTGCAGAACTGGATCGAAAATTGCTGAGAAGACGAGGCAGACACAGACGAAGCAGATAGACATCTCTTTTTGGGACAATGATACTTCCAATGGCTTTTCTGATGGTAGAAAGCATACTTATTTGATGCCAATGGCCTATTTTTAGGCCTAGTAATCTTAGCATTGAACATTGGTATGAACTAGAGACAAAGAAGAGGACTAATGGGGCAAAGGATAATACCTAGAAAACTTCGGGGGGTTTTAGTGTAACAAACTAGGAATAGGATGTTAAATGTAATACCTAAGCAACGTCTGAGAACAGTACTAAGAACTATCGAACAAATCGAGAACCACAGACAGAAGGAGACTAAAGCTGAGAGAGACAGGACCAGAATCCAAAGTCGAAGTCAAAATCGAGTAAATCAGAGACAGACACCTCTTCGATCATCGAAGTCTAGGTAGAGAGGGAGATGGTCCTTGCAAACTGAAGCGAAAGAGAACCGGATAGGTCGATTGCGACGAAGGTGAAATCAAAACTCAGATGAGTCGAACCTTAAGGAACTGAGAGGATGAGGACCAAATGTGTCATCACTATAACTAATCACAAACTAGAAAACCAGAGGGCACAAAGCAGAGGCAGAATCGAACTCAGATGAGTCATGCGGCAGAGGTAGTTAGTCGCGAATGGTTCGCAAGATAGAGGTTGAGTGTCGCAAACAAGAGGGAACCACGAACGAAGCTTGTAGTCGAACTAGAAAAACACAAAAGGAGAAGAAGTTGTTGACTTCTAGGGTTTTGGCTCAGAGACGGCTCTGATACCATGTAAATTTCTGAATAAACTTGTATATTCAATGCTATTTAATATATAAGAATACATTGGTTTATATATCAATCTAACCCTACTGAAAAAAGGTAACAAAATCCCTAATATATACAGAATATATAAACTACCATATATACATGAAACGTAATACTCTCACACTATGATGATGAAATCTAGTCAACTTGTTGCAGCAATAGAAGTCTGGAACTCAGGTTGTTTGGCTGACTGATTTTTGAGATTTTTTTTTTTTTTTTATAGTGAATTTTGTTGGTCCAAAGAGTTAAAATAGAAAAAAGTAATCCCCATTTGAGTGAATGTATCATGGCTCTATCTATTCATCTTCTTCAAAAATTAGAGTTCTGCATCTCTCTGGGGCTGGGTGAACAAATAGGCATAGGGAAGAGGGAGAAGGGGGCTACGAGCCCTCTTCCGTTGTTCCCAGACCACCCATCCCTTCTTTCCCCTCTGCCCAGCCTGGTGATGTCTGATGAGATCAAATTTCTCGAAGTGATTGGAAGAGTTACAAATTTTGTGCATTGAGGCTTTTATATATTTGCTGATGGCAGTATAGATTAAATTTATTTTAGAAAGTACAATTTGGGCATTAAGTAGAATATTACAATTTCTTTGTCACTAAGCAGGCTTAATCATGCCTTATCATGAATTAACTGTTTAATTCATGATAAATATTCATTCCAGAGGAACACAGTGAACTATTTATTAATCTTTTGGGTGGGATTACCTATCATTAAACATCCACCATCCTGGAAATGGGTTCCCAAATTAATGCACCTACCAAATTGTGTATGAGACTTGTCTAAGAATCTGAGAGATTTGGAACCCTTGAATATGCTGAATATGCAGATAATGTTCTCATATGATTTGTAACTAAAATATTAACATCCGCTTTATAAGCATAGGATATGACCAACTTTGTAATGGCAAGCTTGGTAACAAGTTGCATGATGGTGATGTGTGCTCAAAGGAGGAGGCATAGTGTTGTATTTAGATACAACTAATTGGCAGGAGCGGACCCAAGATTCAAACAATTAGGTAGGTCAGTCAGGTGGATGGTGGGTTGGGCCAGGTTTGTTTAAAATATTATTTATTTATTTTAGGCTAATTGGCCAATAAATATAAGTGATTGTCTCAATTTAGACATCCTGCCCCTTTCTTATAACCTGATATATTTATTTGAATTTGCTCATTTGTGCTTTAAACTCATAGCGAGAGTAGACCTTATATGAATGTGGGATTTTCAAGTTTTCGGAGGGGCCTCCTGAAACCCCCTCCCTCTGTGCTTTTCATAATTAGGATGATCCTAGTTTCACGTAGGCCAAAAGCACAAGTGGTGCAAATGGAATGAATGTTATAAACCATGTAATATTGGTGACTGGTGGAAAACACTCAAATCATTTCTCTCATTATTTTCTGGTTCTGCACTGGGGTTAGGATTTTCATTTGGAGGAGGGGGGAAACAAAATACTTGATTCTTTGGTCCATTGGGGTGAAGTAGTTTATTTATTTTATTCAATTTTGTCCATGTGAAACAACACAGTTATTGGGTATCTGACTGTTGTCCAAAAGAAAATAAAAATATGTAAAAATGAAGAACTTCTCTAAAACATTATACAACGTAAGACGAATATGCAAGTTATTTCATGGTTTGAATTTGAATATAGAATATTCGGTCTCATTTTAAAAAATTTATTAGAAAGTTTGGAACATGAGAAGATCTTTTAGGAAAGAGATTTAATGAGTAATTAAAATAACAGATAATTTTTTGTTTGATATCTTTTTTATACCCCTTTAGCTCTCTATGTAGTTTTGTCTGATTAAATTCTGAACCATCAGTAGTCCTTTTGCTTTTTTGTGTTTTTTGGAATAATCTGGTTTTGAGTTTTGACTAGATGATGCTTTGATGATATTCTATGACAGGCAAAGAGGGGCATTCTCAGCTACTTTAACTGTTGTGTGAAAGCCTGAGGTTTCCTGGATCAATATGACACATTTTCTTTCTTATGTAATGGATCGATCATGCATCGTGAAACTACTGATAGATAAGGAACGGTGATGCTTTTGCGAATCCGATTAGATTCTCTTTTTTCTCTTCCATCTGAACAGTTTATGGGCATGTTGGTTAGCGACTTCTGGAATTTCTTCATGGTGTTTTAGGTTGTGTTTGGTTGAGGGATTTGAAGAGGAATTTGGAAAGGGAAATGGAAATGGAAAAGGTAGGTGAAATATGAATAAAACATGCCTAAATTTCACATAGTTTCACACATCTTTTCTATTTTCTTTTCCAAATCCCTCCCCAAATCCTCCAACCAAACACACCTTTAAGCTGCTGATATGAAGAAATTTAATCAGTGAAACATTAGGTAAAACTAATTAGAAATTTAAAGGAAGTTCACAAAATCAGAGATAATTTTAGAAACAAGAAAAAACAATTTGGACTCGGATCGCCTTTAGAGCGTCTCTATTGGTGTAGCAATTTTTATGCTATTTTATTGTAATAATGCAATATGCACTAACTAGTATATACGCTAGTGTATCAATAGATGATGTGACATAATTTTAAAAGTTTTGAATATTTATAATTTGTATAATAAATAGAGTCATTAATGATATTATAACACTAGTTAGTAAACTAGTGCGTACACTAATTGATGCATGTAGCATCACTGATTTTATTATAGCACAACACCAAACAGAAATGCATTGTATATAAATTTACTACTAAATTATCTCATCGTGTGTAATAATTAATGTGCTAATAGGAAAATGCTATAAGTTCTAAATTTTTAACTAAACAAATGTCTAAATGTTTCACATGTGGAGTTTACAAAATTGCAGATTCCACACTTATGTGAGACATTTGGTCATTTATTTGGTAGAAAATTTAGTATCCCTAACGTTATCCACTAAAATAACCTAAGTATAGTATTTGTTTGTGCTATTTTTTTAGGGGTGAAATATTAATAAATTTCAAAATGTGATCTTATGGATTATTTAGTCTTTTTTTTTCTTATAAACTCAAAAATTTCAATAAAATAGAAATTACACAAAATGGTAATCACTTGGTTTAATTTTTTAGGAATAAAAGTGAATTTTTCCAAATATAAAATTATATATTTAGGGAATTCGTACTATAGAAGGTTTGAATTTTTCCTCATTTTAGAGCAAATGTCACATTATCAACAAAAACGTAATACTCCAATGAAACACATTAAAAAAGTTCTTTGTGTACTTTTGTCAAATGTAACACTCTAAAAAAAATTCTTAATGTAACTTTCCCAAACGTAACACTTTAATGTAACATACAAAAAAATTTCTTAGTGTATTTTTCTCAAACGTAACACTCCAATGTGGCACACACAAAAAACTCATTGGTGTAGTTTTTTCAAACGTAACATTTCAGTCAATGTAATCCCAAACGTAATATTTCAATGTAATACACAAAAATATTAAAAAAATCATTATTGTACTTCTTCAAACGTAACATTCACAGTTTGAAATACATTTTCCCAAAACTTACTAAAGAAATTTTTGTACTCTTATTGGAATTATTTGAAGAATTTTATATCCTTTTGAAATGGTTTGAAGAATCCGATATTCTTTTTTTTAAGTGTTACGTTTGAAAAAAGTATACTAATTTTTTTTTGTGTATGTTACATTGAAGTATTACACTAAAGAATTTTTTTGGAGTGTTATATTGGAGTGTAACTGTTAGTAAAAATTATGTTAGGGCTAGATCGACAACAACTAAGCAGTAACTCAAACTACACAATTTAAATAGAAGCAATCAAGCAACTGCGGCTCTAGTTTGAATACCTCAAAAGAATGATGACTTTTTGGATCAATTGATGACAACAAAGCAAACAAGGGAGAAAACCAACTTTCTTTATTAACAGATGGTAACAAGGTAGATTAAATAAAAGAAAACAACTTTAAATTATTGTATCAACAAATGGTAACAAGGTAGATTAAATAAACAGAAGCAATTTCATACTGATATCACCTATGTTCATTTAACAAGTACAAATTACAGTGAAAGAAACTATTCCTAGGTTACAATTTAAACTACTCCTAAGTCTAAAAGTTAAGTTGTTATGTTGTTGTTGATGTCCTTTATTTTCTGCAAATTTCTGGCCTTTATACCTCTTCTCTTCTATGTCCCCATGATCTCCCCAATCTATAACTGCTGTTGTGTAACTGCCACAACTGCACCCCTACTTCCCTAACTTCAAAATGTATCAAGCCTTTAATTTTACCTGTCGATCTTCATTTCCCTTAAGTTAACACATACCCCTAAATCCTTTTTACCTTTGATAGAGAGACTTGTATTTTGCTTCATGCCTCCTCTTGAAAGGTTGCCCGCTAGCTCCATGACTGCTGCCAATAACTGCTTCATCACTTCTAGTCGACTCACATGCACAAACCCACTTTCAACTGTTGTTCTTGATCCTCTAATGCTGGACATTCCCTCTAAACTTGGCCACGTGTCTTCCACTAATTGAACCACCTGTCGACAGGACTTGGCAAAGATAGGTACAAACAGTTACATTTGAAAAAGTGCACTAAGGATTTTTATTTATTTTTTGGTTATATTGAAGTGTTACGTTTAAGTGTTACATTGGAGTGTTACAGTTTGAAATTTTATATTTGCTCAAAGTTTACTAATGGTTTTTGTACTCTTTTGCAATGTTTGAAGAATATTATATTTTAAGTCATTTTGGTACTCCTTTTGAAATATTTTTCAAATAAAGAAGATTTTCATATAAAAATTTATCCTAAAGAGAAGGAAACATAATAGAAATATGGATATAACTGTAAATCTAATTTTTAAATAATATATTAAATTTACCTTTCCAAAATCAATGGGACTAATTAGTCTATAAGAAAATTCTTTGGACTAAATGAATCATCATTCTTCAATATGAGATTTATAGATTAAATTTTCTTTTTTTAAAGGTTGAGATTTAATTCTATAAGAGTTTAGGGTACAATATATAATACTAAATTAAGAGTATAATAGTATTGATAATCACTTTTTAAAAAAAATCAACTATACAAAAAATTATTTTAAGATCATTCTACAAAAGAGAACTTTATAGGATCTAAATTCGGGTAGGTTGGGCCTAGCGTCCTATCGGTTCGAACGTGAGATAGCAAGTAAACTCTTATTATATAGTGTTGGTCCATTCTAAACTCAATTCAATCTGAACTTGATCTAACACATGATTACCCACCCCTATATGAGAGGGATTGAGGAGTCATTTCACCATTGCGGGAAAAAGGCTAAAACTAAATGAATTGATTGAAAATAAATTAGTTAGGTTGAATTTACGTATTGAATATTTGTTTATGAGAATTTTGATTGTTCCTTATCAAATTTAGTGAATTTGAATTCACATTTAGATGTAGATTAATGATTAATAAGATTAGATTATATCAAATTCAACCCGAATTCAACCTTTTTAATCCTTTTTAACAGGTTGTTCTACCACATTTATTACCCAACATTTGTTTCTGTTATATCCTAAAATTCAATACAAAAATATTAATTTAATTTTCCCTCCATGCGAAGCGTCGATATCATGGTCTGGTAGTAGGTAACCATCAAATCCATAAGCAACCCTGAGAATGGTCTTTACCAACTCCACCATTGGCAGGTTTTTCGCCTACCATTTTAATCAAAAGTTGGTGGGTGGGAGTAGGGTAGGATTTGGGAGCTGTTGTGTGGGATGTACAACCATCATTAGTTAAATGGTTTTATTTCAGAATTTATTTTAATAATTTGAATTATTTGTATTTTAGAATACAATAAGTAAAATATATTTATAAAAAATAAAGTTAATCGGATATCATTTACCGTTTCATCCACTCGCATTTGTATCTACAAAAATAAATAATAATTATGATTTAAAGTATTAAAATAAATATAAATGTGAGTTGATGAAATGATAAATGATATCCGATTAACTTGATTTTTTTACAGGTATATTCTACTTGATATATTCTAAAATATGAACAATTCAGATTATCAAAATGAACATCGAAATAAGCCCATTTAACTGCACAACAGTGTTATTGTGCACTCTGCACAGCAGCCAGCTCAAATCCAGTAGGGTAGAGCCCATACATAGGCAAACAATTTGATATTTTACTTATTTTAATATTATTTTTTGGAAAATAAAAAGCAACACTACGATGTACACAAAACAAAAAATCCAAGAATGAATAGGAGATATTGTATCAAAAAAAAGAATAGGAGATATAGCTCATAATAGTAGTAAGAAATAATTAATTCAGGGTTTATTTGGGAAGTAGCTTATTTTAGAGTTTATTTATTTTTTATTTTTTAGTTAAACTATGAGATAAAATAATTAAAGTTTTTGAAAATATATTTTGACTTTTTACATAAAAAAATTGTAAAAAAGTAATAAGACTGAGGAGAAATTTTTAATTTTTTTATATAATTTTATTTATTTATTTATTATTATTTTTTAATTTGTTGACTATCTTAATTTATTGCTAAACATCCCATTACTGTGAGCACAATTTGATTTGGTTTGATTTCGAAATAAACCAAGACCAAATACTATTTACAGTTTCATAAACCAAAACCAAATCATGTTAGATATAAACCAAATTAAACTGAATCATGAAAACGTGAACACTTCTAGGTAAATGGTTAACAATTTATAAATATATACAGGGTATTAATAAGATATTTTAATATTTATCATAAATAACAAATTATATAAAAGTATATATCTAAACGATCGGGTTTGATTTCAATTTGGAATTATAAGTATAAAACTATAGACTGAATTGTGAAGTACAATTCACTTATTTTAATAATTAAGCGTTTATTTGGGATGTGAGTTGATTTTTTGGCTTTTTGAATCTTTTAGCTTTGGGCTAAAAAGCCTCGTTTGTGATGAATTTTTTAGTTTTTTTGATTTTTGTGAGATAAAAAATGAAATGAGTATGGCTTGGATGTAACATTTTATCTTATTGAGCTAAAAAGTCTATTTTATTTTTTTGTGACTAAAATAGCCCCAACTTCACCCAAACCCACGTATCAAACGAGCATTCAAATTGAATCATATATTGAAAATACTAAACTTAAATAGTGTGATTTTATCTAGATCAGATTAATTTACAATTTTTTCAATGTTTTTTCTCAATTGTATGACCCATGCAATAAAAAAAAATGACTTTTATTTAGAGAAATGATTAATCTTTGTTATTCATAATATTTCACCATAACCTACATCAATTGAGTTAACCTAATTGAGGGCTAGTTTGATAATTAACTATTTTAGTGATTTTTTAATTTTTTATAACAAAAAAATTATGCTGAAAAATAAAAAGAGTAATGTGATAATTTGTAATGACTTTTTTATTTTTTTGGCAAAAACTCATAATTGCCAATGAGACATTGAGAGTGTAGTTATTTTAATTATTCTTATATTTTTCATGTTTAAACAGGATCATAAAATAAATTTAAAAATATAAAAAAAAATGAGAAGTAATTTCAAATTAATAGAGGCGGCAAGTTTGGCAATGCGATTTTAGCTTAAAAAATCACTATAAAAAAAAGACAAATATTCCCTTTATTTTTACATATGTTTTTCATAAAAAAATAAAAAAATAAATTAAAATAATTATTTCCTAAAACAACTGTGTTTTCGGGCACATATATGTCATTTACAGTAAGTTACTATTTTTTGGGGCTCATTTTTGGTTCAACAATGCTAGAGGGCCACAATTTTTATAGTCACAGTGACTCAAAACTGCCAAAACGACGTTGTTTTGGGTGCAAAACATGCCAAAACGATGTCGTTTTGGCAGTTTTAAGCCATTGTGACCACAAAAATTCTGGCACTCAAACATTTTCCTTTTTGGTTCATCCAAAAGCTAGGGTTGTTTTAGGAATTAATTACTTTAATTAATTTTTTAAAGAAGAAGACGTATAAAAGTAGAAAGAATAATTAACGTTTCAACAGTGACTTTTTATTTTTTTTAAAAATAAGTCTTGTTTGGTTTGTTTTTCAGAAAAATTTTTGGGAAAAATTCTCTACAATCAAATTTTTGAGAGTAATCAAACCAAACAAATTTTTCCAAAAAAAATTTCAAAATTTTGTTTGGTTACCTACTTTCCAAAATCACTCACTCTTTCATATACATCAAATCAATCACTTTTTTTTAAAACTCTCTCCCCAAAACAATTTTTCAAAATTATTTCTAAAAAAAAGTAAACCAAACAAGTTTTCGTACTTTTTATCTCAAAAACTACTCTACAAACACAAACCGAACACACCCAAAATAGTCTATTGCCAAAGTTGCCTTTAATAGATGGACAATTCTTAGACAATTTATAGTATTTTATTACAATACTACTACAAATCTAAACTTATGAACTCAGAATTTACCCAAAAAAATAAAATAAAATAAAATAAATCATTAATAGTTAAAATTTATTTTAGGGAGATTTATTTATAAGTCTTTTTTCAGACACTTATGGTGGGCTAAGTCCTGTGTAATTTCTTATAGAGTCTCAAGTCCTATTTAGATATGAATGTATTCCACAAGATCCTACATAAACGTAACGTGACGCGACACTTACATAAATGTAACGTAACGTGACACCTATATAAACGTAATATAACGTGACACCTATATAAACGTAATGAGTTTTTATTTTTTTAAATTGAATGTGAAAATGTTGTTAATTTATGTTGATGTCACGTTACGTTTCATATAAATATGATTTATGACAACATTCAATTACCTATTTATGTAGGTGTCACGTTACGTTACGTTTATGTAGGAAATTGAATGTTGCCATAGATCATAGGTGTCACGTTACGTTTATGTAGGCGTCACATTACGTTACGTTTATGTAGATATGATCTATGGTAACATGTAATTTCCTATATAGGAAATTGCATGTTACCATAGATCATAGGTGTCACGTTACGTTTATGTAGGTATCACGTTACGTTACGTTTATATATATATGATCTATGGTAATATTCAATTTCCTATATATGGTTTTATTATTATTTATGATATTAACAACTAATATTGAGGGTAAATGTGTCAACAAACTTTTCACAAGACTTATGGAAACATAAATTTTTTAATAGGAGCATAAGTCTCCCTAATAGGACTTATAAATAATTTTCCCTTTATTTTACTCATTAACCCCACACATCACTAATTGCTCCACATAAACACATTTAAGATAAAATTTAGGTAGATAAGGGTGGGGTTTATATAATTGTTAATTGAATAAGTTTAAGAACATAATTCTCAACGAAGATTAGGTTGTGTGATGGAGATTAAAATTATGCTTTGTAAGATTCATATGTAAAATGAATCTGAACCTTATGTTCATATTTCTAGATAAATTTTGGATTTATAATATTATTGTTTTTAATTTTGGGGGTGTTTGAGAAGTTAGATTAGATGCTAAAATAGTCAATAAAGATAAAATATGTTAAAATAATTAATAAGACAAAATATTAAATTTAAATCATAATCATTTTATTTTTTTTCTCTCAATTATTAAATTAACTATAAAAAAAAAAAAATCAACTAACATTCTAAATTCATTTTTTTTTTAACTAAACTAAAATAACCAAAAAAAAAAAAAAAAAAAACAACTAAAATAATCTATTATGGATTTGTTAGGTTTAAAGATACAGATACCAGCATCACCATGTGCCTCTCTCACTCTCACAGCGGTGTGTCCGCATTCTGAAATAGCCGGGAGTATTGTACCGAGGGAGTGTGAAACGGAAGGAAAACAAACAACCAACAACAACATCACAAGGTTTTCCTAGATCAGGGGGAGGAAGGGGGAGGAGGAGGAGATCAACCCAGAAAGTAATTATTTACACTCAGAATAGAATAGAATTGAAAGCCCAAATATATGTAATATACTTGTATTCAAATGTGATTTATTCTGCCATTTGTTTCATTTTTTCAAGATTTTATTTAATTATCATGTCAATAGCTCAAGTAAAACAATTAGATCAAATCTTTGGTTATTGAATTAGCATTTATCAATCTTAGATTACTCATGCAACTTTGTGAATTCAAAATATACAGTTGTGTGTTTTACTTGAGCTGATTGGTCTATATGCTTTGGAATCAAATACAATAGGAGGAAACAATTCTAGATTATTATTTTTATTTATATACAAGCAAAGATTTATTTTTTAATGTTTACCTTGAGTTTGCTTCTATTCTGATATACCTTTATGTGATCATTGCTTGTTATCTGATTGTGGAGAGGGGGGTAGGTAGGAAGGCAAGAGAAATTCATTTTGCATGTAATTTAGTCAATTTTGTTAGCTTGGGAGCTACAATAATTAAAAAATAAGAAAGTGTATTAGAGCATAATATAATGTGTTGATTGAATTGGCTGAATTGTTTGTCTTTTCAAAATCAATGCAATAGGAAGCAAAACATTCAATTTTCTTTTTTTTGTCTTCATCTTTTGGCAATTAGACAGATGGTCAATGAAATTTATGGTTTTTGCAGAGAAATTTGGTGAAATTGATGCTTTAGTTCTTTAATTTGCGGGGACAAATTAATTTGAAGATCGATCAAATTTCTGCCGCACTCAAGTTCTTTTCAGTTTTGAGACAGTGAAGCAATGGAGGCTAAACTTGCCCAGAGCTTGCAATTCTCAACAACATGTATTGATTCAGAGAAGATGGTGAGGAAACCGAGCGGTTTGTTGCTTTTTTCTCCAAGAGCTAGTGACCAAAAGAGGCTTCAGGTTCGTATTTCTAGTCATTTGCAACCAACAAGAACTGCCAGTTGGCATAAACCTGCGGCATTGAAGGTCTCGTGTTCTTATAAGAACTTTCCAGGTAGTTGCATAAAATTTAACAATTTTCCCCATTTTTTCAGTAAGTATTAACAAATTTTTAGCATAGACGATGAGAACTTGTCTTCCATATTGTTTGATAACATATAAGAAAATCTAATACAGTTGTGGAACACATGATTTATCACAATAAAACCCGATTTTGGTTGGTTTTTTTTTTATTGCTTTGATCAATATCACTTGGAGTGATGAATTAATTTCCTCTATTGGAAAAGAATGCTTCACTATCCCTTACAAGTACAATTCATATTATTCACTTGAGCAAATTAAGAATGAAATTTGGGTCGACCTCTGGTATAAGTTGTTTTAATTGAACTCAACCTTTTTTAACGTTCCATCTTTGCTTCGTGTTCCTCAATGGACATCAGAGCAGTGTGGGTGAAAGCATCGGGAACACTTAAGGGCAAAGCGATATTGGAGCCCAAGTGCAAAGCCGAAGCACACTTGAGATTGAAGTAAAGCACACATTTAAAAAAAATAACGCATAATGACTAAGGATTCATGATATAAAATAAATAAATATTAGAATTTTGGCTTACCAAAAAGTTTACCAAGTATAGATAAAATGTCAAGAGCAAAGAGATAATGACCTGCACCGTTGGTTTTTTCAAAGATGGAGATCACTGGCAAGTGACACCTTTGTAAGAAGAGAATGAGGCAGCTCCCATCTCCAATAGTTTCTATTCAGCATTGTTTTATTCATCCATTGATTTATTTACCTCATTTTTCTCTTTGTTTTGTTTTTCTTCTTACAATAAAAGGAGAATACTTTGGCATTACCCTGTTTTACAGGATGCGTGTTGCCACATGTCTTTCATCTCATGGGAAACCCACTAGGCCAAAGGCCATCAAAGTGCCGTCCAAGACTTACCCAGTTTTTATTCCGTCTTCTGGGCCCATAAAATTCAGATGTTTTTGTTTTGAACCTCTTGAACACAGTTAGTCCCCAGCAAAGACTGATTTTTTTTTTTGTTGGGACATTCTAATAAATTGATGTGGTTTTAATTGTCTCTCATTAAAATCTTTGCGAAGAAGTATGGTGTATGTTATGTCATTGAATTAGTAAAATATATATGTATATATATATTCTTGTTCTCACTGGAGTGCTAGAGGTTGAATTCTCACTCACCTACCCACATCAAACCAAACAACCAAATAATCAACTCTGCTGTAGTGATTGCAGGCAATAAAACTCTTTTGTTACAAAGTTTAAACTGAGTTTTACTTTTGTAGATTCCATATTGAAGTCTGGAAGTTTTCCTGCCTCTTTTGATGAAGCTATGACTTTAAAGGTATGAAATGATGTCCTTTTGATCTCTCATATGTTTAATTCATGACAAGCAATGATTTTGAGGGTGCACCACCTATTTCTAATGTTTGAAACATTATGGCATTCTGCCATCCGTTAAATATTCTGCATGACATAGCCATAAAATTGAGAAGCTGCATTGATTTGATTGGCTTGTCTTAGATTGTTTCAGCATTCATCTTATTGGAAGTTATAAAATTGCAGAATAAGTCAGAAGAGATTGAACCATATTTAAATGGACGATGTATATATCTTGTTGGTCAGTTGCCTTAACAAGATCCTCTGCAATTAGTTGATCAAATACCTGAAATGGTTTCTATTTAACTATATGGTGTGCAAAATGCAGGGATGATGGGATCTGGGAAAACAACCATTGGCAGGATTTTGTCAGAAGTACTTGGTTATTCCTTTTTTGACTGGTTTGTAGTGATATTGTCAGTTTTCTTTACAAAATAATTGTAGAGTGGAGAATACTTTATTTGAGTAATTTGGAGGACTGTTATGAAATGGAGGGTTCCACAATTGCAGATAGGAGTTATTGGTTGCCATTGATACTCTGGAAACCGTTCCCACTTTTCTTTAAGATTTTCCATTCAAGAAGTCCCCTTGGCACATTGTACTTCCTGCTAAATAATAATTTGATTATGTTATGTTTGTGGATGTCAGTGACACATTGATAGAGCACACAGTTGGGGGAACTTCTGTGGCTGAAATCTTTAAGCTATATGGTGAGAGTTTCTTCAGAGATAATGAGGTTAGTAAGTGTTGATTTATCTGCTCAGTTTCTTCACAGTTGGAATAATATATGGGCATTGGTTTCTCCATTTTTCTTTATTTTTCCAAAAAAAGGTGTGTTTCTAAATTGTAGTTTACTACTTTGTGCATGTGTGTAAAAGACATTAGAGGGGCTAGGGTTGGGTCATGTGGAGGGTGTTCTTCATAGCTGGAGAGGGGGTAGGGTTGGGAAAAGACAAGAGAAGGCTTGGGATCTTGCGCCTTTGTGACTGATGTGTCTGATTTGGCTAGAGCGATATCGGTGGATTTTCCAAGTCCTGTGCCTCTTTTGAAGAATAGGTTTTTGGGGATTTTGTACAGTTGGGTAACTGGGAGAGTATATCCGGATTTATATTCTTTTGTGAATTTCCTAGATACTTTGAGGGCATTTGGTAGAACTTTGCAAATGACTTCCAAAACCCAAAAGCCCTTCCATAGCAAAATTGCCTATTTGGTGAAAATTTCAAAATGAACTTTTAGTGGAAGTGTAGCCTCCAAAAGTCCGTCTCATGGAAGTTAGTGGGAGTGTCTTTTGAAATCACTTCTCGCGAAGCGATTGTGGCAATTAATTTTAATAATTGAAATCACCATTTTTCCCTAATGTTTGTTATAATTACAAATCCATAACTTTATGAATTTAAATTATTGTTGGATATTTTTGGAAAACAACTTTAAAACTAAAAAAAGAAATGTAGATGAAGCACTTTTAAAATGAGCACTTGCCAAATGCAGTTTATTGTTCCATTTTTTTTTTTAATTTTTATGGTAAAGTCCATTCCCAAGAAGTCCTTTCTTTGTGAAGAAGTTGCGCCAAACAAGCCCTTTATATGTTTAGGTGTAGGTGTTCATTGGTGATGGGTGTATTTGTTGGCATCATCTGGTACAGATTAGCAGATGTACTTAATCAACTAGATATACCTTCTCCTCGGCTCTAGAACTAGTAGTTTGGGAATTTAAAGTTTAGTAGAAAATTCTACCAATTCCACTACCTGAAATGTTTGGTAGATATATCTGCAATATCTCTCAGCTCTAGAACTAATCATCAGAGAATTTAAAGATTAAAAAGCAAATTCTACAATCTCCACTACCACTAATCTTCAGTAGATATGCCCTCAGTCTAAGCAAATGTGTGGATTATTTTTAGTAGATACACCTGCAGTATCCCTCAGCTCTAGAAATAATGAGTGCTTGGATATTTTGAAGAATAGAAGCAAATCCCAAGTTTAATTTTATTTTCCCTCCTCCAATTATAGGAACCTAAAAGTCAGTAATTAACTTCTTCCTTGCAGACAGAGGTATTGCAGAAGCTGTCTTTGATGCACCGGCTAGTTGTTTCCACTGGTGGAGGTGCAGTTATTCGGCCCATCAACTGGTACAACATTGGACATATTGATAAAATCATTGCCAATTAGTTTCTCATACATTTATATAGAGCTATTTTTTGCTTTCAGGAAATACATGCAAAAGGGGATTAGTGTCTGGTTAGATGTACCATTGGAAGCCTTGGCAAGGAGAATTGCAGCTATAGGAACAGAATCTCGCCCCCTTTTGCATCATGACTCAGGTGATGCTTATGCAAAGGTAGGCATTTCATCCATCATATTGGACACACTAAGATGACTTTTCTTCTGCTTTCCGTCCTATTTGCATTCGATATCATGTATATTAATTAAATTTGATGCTCTCTCTTTTGGTTCCTTTTTGACACTTTTGGGATATTCTGTCTTCTGGTTCCTTTGACACTTTTGGGGTTTGAACTGTAGGCTTTCAATCGTTTATCTACTCTTCTGGAAGAGAGGGGTGAAGCGTATGCAAATGCCAATGCTAGGGTTTCGTTGGAAAGTATGATTGCTTTAACTATGTATCATTTTTATCAGTTTGTGGCACTATGTCTTGTTTGGACTGTCTTGTTTACTTTTGGAAATTAGCACCAAATTGATTAAGCTTTATTCGTTTTGGACTCAATCCCAAGGCACTTGAGCCTTTGCAAATGAGAATATGGCAAGATGGGGTCGGATAGCAGTCCTCTCTTTTACTCCCATAGTCATGCCTCGTGCACAGCAACACCCATACTATTGAAATGGTTCGTCAATAGAGATTTTTCCATTCCCACTGCATATGACAAAGGTAAGGGTGTGGGATATGTGTCCGACACCCTTACCCAATTTAGAAATTTGGATCCTCTAATTATGTACGATATTGGAAGAATAAGATGCTAACATTTGTTAGTAAAGAAGGATTTCTAGATTCTTAACACGAATGGGAGATATAAATTCTATATTTTTCTCAAATTTGATTTAGTTTAAAGTATATTTCTAAATAATTTAAAACATCTTATCTAAGAATATTATATAATATGTAATATATAAGTGCTTAAGATGTGTCCCTGTACCCATATCCCAAGATTTTGGCTTAAAAGATCTGACGCTTACAAACGCACCCCCACCCGATACTGAGATACTAGAGTCCATTACAAAGTTTTTGGGCTAGAATATTTTATATGTGAATTTAAGTTTTTGAACACTTCCTAATGGTAATGCACACCCTTGCTATATTCTGATTGTCTACTTTATATAAGTTGAAAGTTGAAGGTTAAAGGGAAGATGGAAGCAAAGAGTAAGCAAGGGAGGAAAGAGAGTATAAAAATAAAACAGAGTTTAGGTGTAAGATACTATCTCCAGTAGCAGAACCCACTGTTGAGGGCGGGCCCTATTAATATATTACAACAGTACCTCTATTTCTAAAATAACAATAAACACTCCCTCTCAAAAGTTAGTGCATAAATATTTCTCATACCCAACTTGCATACAAGAGAATGAAAAGACCTACTAAGATCTTTACTAAGAACACCTGTAAGCTAGTATCGCACAAATAAAATCTCAATTTGACTTTTGGTTAATGAAATAATAATAATCTCAACAGGTTTTGTCCTGTTATGTTAATATGGGTTGTGAGCAATGTAGCTAACAGCCTTATTGTCTCAAAATACAAATTCATAGGACATCAGAAACTAATCCAAGCCTGGCAATTGTTAACAAATCTAAAGCAACGAAAGTTAATGAATCCCTTGTGCCATGGCTCTATATTCATCTTCTGCACTAGAATGATCAACAATAACCAGTTTTTGTTTCTCCATGTAACAAGATTCTCTCAAACAAAGATATAATAGCCAAAGGAAGGTCATTTATCATTTATAGATCATGCCTAATCTATAAACCTTTAAATGTCCTCGATAAAATAATATTCATTTTTCCTTGAGGTGTCTCAAAATTTGGAAAACAACCTCTAGTATAGTAGTACAAGGATTATTGATGAATTTACTTACAACACTTACTGTATAGGCAATATCTGGACGTGTGTAAGAAAGATAGATAAGGTTTCTCGGCAATCTATGATATTTATTTCTATCTGTTGGATCACCTTCTTCACCTTTTAAGTCCGTGGTTGATCTCAATAAGAGTAGCCGTTATCCACATCCTAACATTCTTTGTTCAGGAGGTCAATAACATTCTTCCACTGAGATAGAAATATGCCCTTTTCAGATGTAGCAACTTCTATAATAAGAAAGTAACGATGCTGACCATATCCTTAGTTTCAAATTCTCTGGCTGTATATCTCTTCCACATTGTCACCGATCATTATTATATCATCGACATAGATAATGAGAATTGCAATCTTCCCATTAACACATTTGATAAACGTGTGATCTGCATGAGCTTGTACATGCCCAACCTTACTAAATTTTTGTATGAAATCTACAATTTCATGACCTAGGTGATTGCTTCAAGATGTAAAAAGCCTTCTTCAACTCGCACACTTTCCCTTTAGTTTTCTAAGACAAAAAACTTTCCCTTCAGTTTTCTAAGACATAAAAACCTATAGGAAATAAATAAATAAATTGGGGCCCACATATTTTCTTTCTACAGGACACAAAGGTACTAGGGCCCACATTAATAAGTAAACATAAACTTTGTGTCGAGTGGTAATAAATACATTTGGGTTGGACAACCTTCGTCTAGTGGGAAGAAATTTGTTTGTATAGCATTCTTGTAAGAACAACTGCGAATGATAATAATGGCATCACCTATATAATGCATGTTTACAATGAAAATGGTGATTTCAATTGTGTTTATCTATAATTTTTATCATTCATGACCTAGGTGATTGCTTCAAGATGTAAAAAGCCTTCTTCAACTCGCACACTTTCCCTTTAGTTTTCTAAGACAAAAAACTTTCCCTTCAGTTTTCTAAGACATAAAAACCTATAGGAAATAAATAAATAAATTGGGGCCCACATATTTTCTTTCTACAGGACACAAAGGTACTAGGGCCCACATTAATAAGTAAACATAAACTTTGTGTCGAGTGGTAATAAATACATTTGGGTTGGACAACCTTTGTCTAGTGGGAAGAAATTTGTTTGTATAGCATTCTTGTAAGAACAACTGCGAATGATAATAATGGCATCACCTATATAATGCATGTTTACGATGAAAATGGTGATTTCAATTGTGTTTATCTATAATTTTATCATTAAATGTAGCTTTTAATTTGTTATTATTTTTAAATATTTTTATTTATTCCACCTGCTACCTTGTATTTATTTCATACATACCATTGCTTTTGGAATTTTTGCATTCAGGAAGTTATTGTTCTGGTAAGTTCTGATCTGGGTAAATGTTTGTATTATGCAGATATTGCATCCAAACTAGGTTACATAGATGTATGCAATCTCACACCAACAGTTATTGCAATTGAGGTCTTCTCTCTCTCTCTCTCCTAGTTCTTCTGAAATTCTAAATATATATTTATATTTTTTCTTCGGTAACTAATATCAAATTATTCCTTTCTTTGGTTCCATCGATTCATAAATTCATTTCTAGGAACACCCTTCAAAAAATGCCTCTTAGGATCTCATGTACTGGTGGACTATATATTTTCATTGCCTTTTTACCCCACTAGAAGTGTAGAAGTACATTAGAATGACTCTTCTTGTTCTTCCTAGCTTACTTGATTTTACATTTTGCAGGCACTTGAACAAATTGAAAGCTTTCTGAAGAAATAGGGAATTGGCTATTCCAAGGACCTAATTTGCTTGGCCTTCTTATTTCAAATAGTTGGGCATTAAACCCACCTAAGCCGGAACAAATTTTTTTTTTAAATATATTTTTTAAGAATTAGTTACATTAGTCCTATGTTTTTATTTTTTAGTAGCGAGGCATGGCATGTGTTGTGTGTGACAAAAATATTGGAGGTTTCTATTAATGATTCTTAAAGAATCATTAGTTGTAAATATGGCTGAAACAGTTCTACCTGTAAAATCTCATTTATTTGTTCCTTATAATAGTATACAACAAAAGCTGGTAATTAGCCGTTGCATTTTGTTTGCTAATTCTGGTATGTAATTTACAGCTCTGAGGTGATTGTTCTTTTTTAGTACTACTAATTAGGAGAGAGATGACGGAGTTAGATGTGATTAGCATTCTTAAGATTGCTAATTTTGAAATTATTAATCTTTTTGGATGGTGTATCATATCCTTATGATTGGCTTGCCCTAGGATTAGGAGGGATTCCTAAAATTTTATCTTTATTTTGTCATTCAATTAATCTAAATCTCTCCCTAGACCCCTCATTTTGTATCTCATCTGTTTCTTGGAATTCAAGGTCATGTTTGATTCACAAGATTAATAGTGAAGTATTAATAGTCTTAGTAAATTAGTGTGGGGTTCACTTTCCAATTGGATTAATATCCATTGGATTAATAATCCCACCCCTACCCCATTACTAATATTCTTACAAATTTGTTAGATTAATTATCCATTGGATTAATAATCCTAAACCAAAATCTTAAAACAAACATAAGATAATTGGGCCCACGAATTAATAATCCCAATCCCACGCTCTAATCCACCCAATCAAACATGCCCCAACAGTACGGGAATACTATATCAGGTAGATTATTAAATCGGACCCTAATTTTCTTAATCAAACTTGAGATATGTACTTTATCAAATTATTAATTTAATCCCAAAATTATATCTGCCTAAAGAAACCACTACCCTGTAATTGCTTATGGGACAGGTTGGAAAGAAATAGTTCCAGCAAAATATTGTTCCTGAGTGCTTCTTCAACCTTTCATCAGATCGTTTATCAAATTTAAATTTGATAAAAAATTGTTGGAAATGGTGCTCTAATGTTTTCATAAGTTTGGTATCAAATTGAGGATGTCTTAAACTTTTCATCAAATTAAGGATGGCTGGAGCCTTTCATTAAATTACTATAGATAACTGTTAGTGCAAGAGCACCGGACGACCAGTCAGTTGTTCAGCTAGTTGTCTCCTCGAACATCCACTTCTTTGCAATGTATACTGGCTAGTCGATCGGCTGGACATCTTCTTAGTTGTCCTCTTGGTTGTTCGGCTAGTTGTTTTTGTATATATTGTTAAACAAGGAATGCTGTACAAACAAAAATATTGCACAAAAGTAGTGCTATACAAACGAAACAACTAGTGCTATGGGAACTAATTAACATGTTTGTCATTGCGACATCATTTTGAAAGTAAATTCTGTAAGAAAATTTTGGCGATATGTCATTTTCCTTGTAAAAAATGTTACGTTAGTTTGGGCCTAAACATTTAAAATCTATGAAACACCAAGAGTACACACCCTTAAAAAAAAGTGCATATCTCAACTTCTAACCGTTAGAATTTAAAAAAATGAATTTGTGGCGTTTACTCGCTTCATAACCACCACCACTATATATCATAATCTAATATCACAAAATTCATAATCAAAAGCAATCACTATGAGTGATAATCAAACACAACTATGAATTATTTTATAACCAAACATTTCTAATTTGACAAATTATGGTGGGGATTGAAAGTATTTTGGAAGGGTGGCTACCTTTGCAATTACGAAAGAAAAAACCAAAACACGACATAGTAATACAATTTTGCTGGACAGGTTATCGAGGACTAGTATGGGAGGTATTGGGTAATTGGTCTAATAGAATAGTTATTGGGGGCCTTTTGGGATGGGTCTTGGAAAGGAATCATGAGGTGGTTGGTTGATTTTGCTTAGAGGATTTTCTTTAAGATGGGTGATGGGAGAAGAGTGAGGTTCTGGTTAGATCCACAGTGTGGTCACAGACTTCTTCAGGAGGTGTTTCTTGGTTTGAATCAGTTAACCACTGACCTTCATGTGAATGTGGGGGATTATTTAGAGGTGACATTGTGTGGAATCCACAGTTTCAGAGGGCTTTCAAGGGCTGGGCACTCCAATCTACAAAGACCTATAATTCAGAGATTTAGAGTGGTGGTCAAAATCTTTTGGCTTGGAGAGTTTCTAAACAAGTTTTTTCAGTTCAGTCTTTATACTGGGGTATGTATGGTGACTGGGATTCTTCTTTTCCTTGGAAGGGTATATAGAGGAATAAGAATCCTAAGATTGATTTCTTTGGTTGGAGAACTTCTTTTCAGGCTATTCTCATTCTCACCATTGATAACCTTCGGTAAAGATGCAAGTTGATTATTTATTATGTTACATGTGTAAGCAAGTGGTGGAATTGTTGAATCACCTTGTTCATTGTCTGGTCGCAAGTGAGTGGACCTAATTTTCTGGTTTTTGGTATAGTTTGGGTTATGCCTTAATTTTATTGATTTATGGAGCTCTAGATGCGCTAAGAGATTAGAGAGGAAGGCTTGGCAGACCACAACTTTATGTGCTTTGTGGACGATATGGACTGAGTGAAATAGGAGATCGTTTGATGGTGTCAAGCTTCCAATTTGTAGTTTGAAAGGATCTTTACTCCTTTCCTTATTTTTTATGATTGAGAGACTACCGTTTTCTGTTTTTTTATTAGCAAACGTCAGATGTAGTAGTTAGAATAGTACCTATGAGAGTTAGTCTCAACACCTTGCTAAGCACAAAGTGCTTGCCTCCTAATTCAACTCCCTCTTAGGGAGAGTTGAATCCATGGCCTCCCCCTTAGTACTAAGCTCTTAGGAGAGTCATGGTGACCAACTATGTTAGGCCTCGTTGGTTGACTGCCCTTTTCTGTTGACTTTATTGTGCTGAGTTCGTAGGTGATTTGTGCATGCCATTTGATGTATATCCTATAGGTTTTGGCTGTTGAGTGTTGAGTGTATGAGGCTCTTCCCCTCTAGGTGGCTCACTTTTGGGTTAATAAAATTTTTCTTATCAGAAAATAATAGTCAAAAGCACTGAAACATTACAACCACTACAAGAAAAAGCACTATTGGCGACTAAAAAATCACATTTCGTTGCTGAAAGTATAGCATTTGGCGACTAAAAATGCATTAGTAGCCAAAAGCAAGGCCTTTTGGCGACTAAAAAAATTTAGTAGCCAAAAGTATAGGTTTTGGCGACTAAAAATCTGTTTGGTCGTTGATATATGGCTTTTAGCGACTAAAAAAATTTTAGTAGCCAAAAGCAAGGCCTTTTGGCGACTAAAAAAAATTTAGTAGCCAAAAGTGAAGCATTCAGCGACTAAAAATCTGTTTGGTCGCCAAAAGTGAGGCTTTTACCGACTAAAAAAATTTTAGTAATCAAAAGTAAGGTCATTTGGCGACTAAAAAAAAATTAGTAGCCAAAAGTGAAGCATTCGGTGACTAAAAACATGTTTAGTAGCCGAAAGTGAGGCTTTTTGGCGACTAAAAAGAAGTTTAGTCACCAAAAGTGGTAGTTTTAGTGCGGGAATTTTTTTTTAACGACTAAAAAATAATTAGTAGCCAAAAGTATAGAATTGGCGACTGAAATTATGTTTAGTCGCCAAAAGTGGTGTCCTTTTTTTTTTCTACTAAATAATTTATTTTTACATAAATTATGTTCAATAAAAAATAATTATGTTTATCTATATACTTTGATATTAATACGGGTTTGAGTACTATATAAATAATATATGTTGCATATATAATCATATGATGTTATGGAGGCGTAGTGGAAGGAGTGTGTTGTATAAAGTTTATGGTGTGGGAGGTTGATGGTTTGAATCTCTACAAGAGCAGGGTGTAATTTTTTATTTTTTATTTTTTATTTTTTTTTCCGGAATGAGCTTTTGGCGACTAAATCTGTTTGGTCGCCGATTCCTTGAGTATTGGCGACTAAAACATTAGTCGGTAAATGTATAATTTAAAAAATATAAGGGTGATGATTGAGACCCCCTCCAATAACCACCCCCCCACACACGTGGCGGGTGGTGATTGGAGGAGAAGGGGAAAAAAAAAAGAAGTGACCAATCAAGTGAAGAGGGGCTAAAGGGGGTGGGAAAAAAAGGGGGTCTAAGTCATTATTGAAAATATAATTGACTATTGGCGACCAAAGTTTTGGTCGGTAAAGACTTGCTTTTTGGCGACTAAAAGTTTTTTCAATACCTTTTCGACTGTTTTCCAGCGACCAAACCGGGGACTAAAAAAATTTAGTCGGGGAAACTTAGAAACCGACTTTTGGTGACTAAAAATTTAGTCGCCAAATGTGTTTTTTCTTGTAGTGAACATCAGTTGAACCAGTTTTAGATGGATAAATATTTATTGCATTCGTATTTTTTCTAGTTATATTGAGTCCTTTGCACTATTGGTAGTGGTTTGCTAATATCAATTAGTTTGTGCAAGTCTAGAATTCGGTGATTACAGTGGTTTACAAATGTGATGGCTTACGTTGGACATTTATTCTTCTATTTTTTTAAACATTCGTTTTCTCACATCTATCAGTTTGAGTAAGATATTACCGAAAGCAAAAGAGATGCTTCCTGTTTTTGTTTTTTTGTTTTTTTTTGTACTTAAAACTTCTTTGCTCGAAAATAAAGAGATATTAAACACCGAAAGACATGCTTAAGGTTCTACCAAGTGCACAAGGCCTTCTTATGGACCTCTAGAACAAGCTATGGGAAAATTATATGTTGCCTCCTGATGATGAAAGACGGCATTGACTAACCGTTGGTAAGTGGCTCCGGCATTTTTCAACCCAAATGGCATGATACGGTAATGGTAGATTCCCCGGTCGGTGCTGAAAGAGGTGTGTTCCTGGTTAGACGGGTGCATCAGAATTTGGTTATACCCAGAGAAGGTATCCATGAAGTTAAGCATTTGATGGTCGGCCGTGGCGTCAACAAGCAGATTTATGCGAGGAAGGGGATAACTGTCCTTGAGGCAAGCTCAGTTGAGGTCGGAGTAGTCGACACAGAGTCGCCATTTACCGTTGTTCTTACGGATCAGGAATACGTTTGACAACCATCTGGGGTAATTCACGTTGTTGATAAATTGTGCCTCAAGGAGCTTATCTACTTCAGCAGCGATAAGAGTATTGCGCTCTGGATGAAAGATGCGCTACTTCTGGCGGAAAGGTCAGAAATGGGGTTCGATGCTGAGACGA